AAATATTTGTAGTACAATATAATATTTAATGAGAATATTTAATGAGAATATTTAATGAGAATATTTTGCTATGACTGCTTAAATATTCAGGTGAGTAATACAGGCCCTCTGGGCCTCTTGTTCCAATAGAAAAGCCTGCTCTTATACGACCCTAACTTTTTACCAGGACAGTACACCCCAAACAAAGAAACCAAAAGAAAGAATTAAAAAATCCACATTTCATTCTGTATGCCCATAATCCATTTTCATCTCTGAAAACTCAGCCTCGGAAAGCTATTTATTTCCGTTGTATTTGTTGAAGGGACATCCTGGTGCTGACCACTAATAAGGAGGGGCTACATCTACCGACATGCTATATCTCACCATTTGATTTCTCATTCAAGATCACCGTGTTTGCAGTGATAAAGGTTTGTATTGTTTTATCAATCCCAAAATTCATCTTCAGAATCTGATTGTTTTCAGAAATTAAGGTTTGTACCGTTTGGTTAGCTTTTGAAAGAGATTTCCTTTTTCAAGATCTTTGTGTTTGCAGTGATAAAAGGCTATCCATACCAAAATTTGCTAACAATCAGCACATGAGCTTCTCCCGTGAGATCTAACATAAGAGAAAAATATGATCATGTTTGCAAAAGATCATAAAAATATCATTAAAATAAAAATGATATCTTCTCATTGCTCCCGTTTACTGATATGTCGTGTCGGGAGCGACTCCAGGATATAATTATAATCAGATTGAGATTGTTTGTTTTAAAATTAAGTTGCTTTCCAGAATTGCATTTTTTATAAATCTGCCTTAATTTACATTAACAATGTCGAATGACATTATCAAAGATGATTTGAGATATAAAACTTGAATTGTGCATTTTACAACCAACGATATCAAACATCTAGTAGACATTAACACTGTCTGCATCAATATGCAAACGTTTATTTTCATTCATACTAACCTAAATGTTGTTTGAACAGGAAGCTTTCGGGGCATCAGAGTTTCAGCTGAAAATGAAGGGCCTGATATCTGTGGAACACCAGGGGGCTCCAGCAAGCAACAAAGATGGCCTGTGTTTGACAACTCTACAGGTATTGGACGGGCCTGAAACAGAGCCCCCTCCACGGTCCGACTCCACGTATCAATGGGTGTCCCTCACACAGCTCGACTCCGACCTCGGTGACCAGCTTGCAACCCGATTAAAGGAGAACGGATGTGTCCCTTTAATTGACTTATAACAGAATGTGTGATAGTGCACATGTCACTGACTAATATTAATGTTGTAATGACTTCAGTGATAAATATCTTGTGATAATGGAAAAGGTGTGTGTCCCTGATATTGTGATTATAGAAAGTGGGTGTGTCCAATTCTGTGGTGACAAAGTGAATAGAAATAGTGTGTGTCACTGATAATGGTGAGTTCCTAATGTTGTGATGACATTAAAGTGGGTGTGTCCCTATTGTTGTGATGACATTAAAATGGGTGTGTCCCTATTGTTGTGATGACATTTAAGTGGGTGTGTCCCTATTGTTGTGATGACATTAAAGTGGGTGTGTCCCTATTCTTGTAATGACATTAAAGTGTGTACTTACTTACTTACTGCCCTGTACGCCCAGTGGCGTGTAGGGCAGCAACGTGGAAATTTGGAAGTAAATCCAGACAGAAAATCTGGGTAGATGGAACTCGTCAGCATAGACACAGCAATCGTCTAAGGAATGGAAAATCCTGACAGAAAAACCTGACCCACCACGTAGGAGTTTAAGCTTAGGGCTAACAACCCCAACTTATAAAAAAAAAGCTTGTTACAGAAACAGCATTAAAGTTGGTGTGCCCCTGCTAATGTTTGTGATGATAAAAATTAGGTTTGCATAGCTGATAATTGAGTGTTCCTAATGTTGTGAAGATGGGGTGGGTGTGCCCCCAATATTTGTGATGATAGAGATTGGATGTCTCTATTCTTGTGATATTGGTGTCCCTGATGTTGTTATAATAGAAAGGGTGTGAGTCTCTAATGTTGTGATAATAGAAAGTGGGCGTGTCCCTATTCTTGTGATTAAAGAAAGTGGGTGTGTCCCTAATGTTGTGAAGATGGAATGTATATGGGTGTGCTCCTAATGTCTAATGAAAAATGATAGAAAGTGGGTGTGTCCCTTCTACTGTGATGATAGAAAGTGGGTGTCCCTTCTCTTGTGATGTTAGAAAGTGGGTGTGTCCCTTCTCTTGTGATTAAAGAAAGTGGGTGTGTCCCTAATGTTGTGAAGATGGAATGTATATGGGTGTGCTCCTAATGTCTGATGAAAAATAATAGAAAGTGGGTGTGTCTCTTCTCTTGTGATGATAGAAAGTGCATGTGTTCCTAATGCTATGATAATATTAAAATGGGTGTGTCCCTATTGTTTTAATCGAAGAGAGTGAAATTATTGATATTCCAAACTAAAATCACTTGTAATGAGGTTAAAAAAGATAGTATAAAGACAAAGAAAAACTAACACAAAAAGAATTTGTTAATTGAAGATTGTTTTTCTTACATTTTGAATATTTATGTTAGCAATTTGTTCAGCAAATCATCCTTTTAACTCATTTACCCCTGAAATTTCATGATGAACTATTCAAACCTTTTGTAATTGGAAGAGTTCAAAATGTCTTCAGGGGTGAGTGAGTTAAATAACGGGCCCTGATGTACTCGCTGTATAAGATATTGAAGAAGCATTTTTGTAAGGTCTTCCTTAGATGCGTGAATAGCTATAAACTCTATATACATTGTATATCAACAGAACCAGTCGCAGAGATTTCCTCTGGCCGAGTCTGAGATGTGCAGATCTCCCCTATCTATTTTGTACTTATCTATACTGTTTATGTGTCTTTGTCACTGTCCAGGTATTAAAACTACATTTTAATGTCGATGATGTAATGTCTTCTATTCCTAAAGGAATTTTAATTTATTTTAAGCATGAATTTTGTATTTAAGTTATATAGGAATGACTTAGGTACACCCGCCTGTTACTGACGAGCATGGTACCCATATGGCGTTACCAAGGTGAGGAATGCAATGAGTTCTCTCCCCAGGCTGTGACTTACCAAAGTCCTTGAAAATGGTAATTGTTATTCCCTGCTTAACATTCAGCATTTAGGGAAATGGCAACAACGGGTTTACCCGTTGCAAGTATAATGTGACCGGGCGGAATGCTGTGCTTGGTACCTACGGCATGGTATTTCAGTGAGGTAGCACTGTAAAGTCGGCATCAGATCCTCGCTATCACAAGGAGGCATATACACCAACATACCCTGTGTCCAGAACACATACACATATGCATGCACACACATGGAGGCATGTTCTTAAATAACCTTAGCTGTTGATAGGATGTTAAACCCTGACAACAAACTAACCAACCATCTGATGTTGCGTCTATTCTTGACATTCTTAGGTGCAAATCTATACTTATATTTAACATGATTTCTTGACAGTTTGATCATGTAGTTCTATGTATCCCATTTCTACATTAGAACAGATATATATGACAGTCAGATTCACATTCAGCTGTTGGGGATATGGTATATCCACATAATATGGACGGACAGAATGATTAGCCCTTCCCAGCAATTTTTATCCCTATTTGTGTTTTTTTAATTTATGATATATTTTTAGTTTTGTATACTGACAACTATATGAGTTTTTACCTTTAATTGCGATATGTGAGTTTCATCATGCAAATCTTGGCCATGAAGCACTATACATGTAGTACATATTAGGCACATGGGTAGAGAGCTTAGATATATAATCTGCTTAAATCATTAAATATTTTACAGAAACTTATGATTTTCACTATCATATACATGTACATACAAACATTGAGCATTCATTACTTAAAAGAACCAGTGCTACTTTATACATGTACTTTGTTATTTTCTAATGTGTAGTTACATTATAAGCTTTGTAAATTAATGTATTTATATTTTGTGTTCACATTATATTTCTTGTCTCTACATGTGATATTACCTGTCTGTGATAAAATAAAAACATATTCAATTAGTTGAGATTTGTTTGTTCATTGTGAAAGAAAAAAAAAAGATTATGAATACCCAGTAAAATATTGATTTTCAAATGCAAATAAAATCAAACAAAGCTACCTTGATCCATTTCCAACTTATTTTGACACAGTATACAAATATACATTTACATTATACAGAATTAATTCACTGCAATGCTTCATGGTTTTTAGCTCACCTGCCTGAAGGGCTAGTGAGCTTATGCAATGGCCTGGCGTCCATCCTGCGTCCGTCATCAGTCAACATTTCTTTTGAACTGGCCTAAAGTCATGATATTTGGGTGATAGCTTTGTTGGTAAGAGCCCAACAATGTTTGAGAACGAAAATAACCTTGACCTACTTTCAAGGTCACAGGGGTCAAAAGTGTAAAATACTTAAAACAACTTCTGAAGAACTGAAAGGTATAGAATGTTAATATGTGGCTGGTAGCTTTGTTGGTAAGAGCCCAACAAAGTTTGAAAGAAAAAATGACCTTGACCTACTTTCAAGGTCACAGGGGTCAAAAGTGTCAAATACTTAAATTCTTTTTCTGAGGAACGGAAGAGTATAGAATCTTAATATGAGGCTTATAGCTTCTTAGGATAGAGCCCAACAAAGTTTGAGAATGAAAATGACAATGACTTACTATCAAGGTAACAGGGGTAAAACATGTCAAACACTTCAAACGAACTTCTAAAGAACTGAAAGGTACATAATCTTAATATTTGGATGGAGCCCAACCAAGTTTGAGAATGAAATGACCTTGACCTTGATAGACACTGCATGTGTTCCTAATGCTATGATAATATAAAAATGGGTGTGTCCCTATTGTTTTAATCACAGAAAGTGAAATTATTGATCTTCCAAACTAAAATTACCTGTAATGTATTAATTTTCAATTAAGCTTTTTGCAAGGTATGGTTTTCATTTCAGAAATAATTTATCAAAGGTATAGGTATAACAGATAAAACAGTTTCCAATGTGTTTTTAAAGTTTTTGACAACCCTACGGAATCCTGAACTTGGAAACATCCAATACTGTTCAGGTTGTATATCTGTCATAACAATGATGCAACAAGGTTTGACAGTGTACACCTATCAAAGGTGTTGGACTTTCAGTATTCGATCCAACTACGTTATGCTTTTGAAAACAACCATATCGATCAAATGTCATATAAAAATATTGTTTTATTACAAAACATGGCAGTATTTTGTATTTTCAGCAACATGTAATGATTTTTGAAGTAAATTTTGATCAACATGAATGATCATGAAAATCTCAAGAAAATGATTGGACAAAAATGTTTTTATGTACGAAAAAAACATTTACGCAATGTCATACATAGATTAAATATGTGACTTAAACAAAACGATTTTTTGAGAAATCGAAATTTGACCTTTATATATTTAAGAGCGAAGTTTTTTTCAGAAATCAGAGTATGAATGACATTAATCTGAACACGGACTTCCCATGTTACTGTTTCCTGAATGGTAGGCACTTCGGGCCTGAAGCCATTGACGGTTTTCTTTTCCCATTACATACTGGTAAGCAGTAACCTCTATCTTTATAGTGCTGTTTCTCAATCGAGTGTCCAGTACCCGGAATAACAGCAGCAGCAGAACTATCGCCACGGTAACAACATTTCTAGCCTTTTACACTAGAGGTCATCTCCGGTGTTTATCAGATCGGTATCTTGAGTCTGATTGTTTCTCTCTATATCTGTCCGGGGATCTGTCCCGATGTCTGTCTCTCTGGGGTGATCTGTCACGTCTATCCCGATGTCTGTCTGCTCCTCCTCCTCCTCCTCCTCCTCTGTCCGGAGATCTGTATGTTCTTTGTTTACTTTTTGTTGGAGTTCTGGACCGCGATCTGTTTGCTCTCTGTTTACTCACCGCTGGACTTCTGGACCGAGATCTACTAGCATGGCGCTGTTTCTTGTGTTTTTTCTATACAAAAAAAAAAATTAAAAAGAATACAATACTAATTATGCACATCGTGTACATTCTGATTCAAACTTTCATGCTGCATAAGTTCAAAACATTTTGTTCTGAAAGTATGGTTTTGACATTTTGAAGGTAACCTCAAAATGAATCATCAAAAAGTGTTTGATTTATTCTTTCAGAAAGAGGTAATGAATTAATTCATTTTTAAAATAAATGATAAAAACGTTATTCATACAAATGAATTTAGTTGTAAGTAAAAAATATCAAAAAAACATGTAAAGTTTTCGAAAAAAATTACTGTTTTATTTAGAAAGGGTAACATGTTTTGACTTTTGTTTAGTTTACAATATGGTGCTGAAAAACACATTTATATATTACATACACAATATGGACGATTAACAACTGACATGTAAACTATGATACTCAATTTCAGATGAATGTCTTGTCAATACCGTATACATGTACATTTACCAGGAAATTTTCACCCAGTAAATTTTAAGCTCTTCATAAGTAAAATCCATATTTGCCCGTTTTTAGTTTCACCCTTCACATTTAATTATTATGTTTGTTATGTTGTATACAAATGTTTGCTGTAGTGGTAAATTTACCCTCTAACGGAGGGCAAAACAGGCGAAAATTAAACTGCAGTGAAAATTTCCAGGTATACAGTACACTGTTGGGCTGAATTATATATCATACAGATTGAATATTTTCACTGAACTCATCATCAGTTATGAAATTTTAACTGATTCCTATCCTTTACTTTAAGGTTATCTCAGTATCTGTTAGACTGTTGAAATTTGGAAAATTAGAATACCTAACCGATGCCTAAAAATAAGATTTTGAAAAATATGTTGATAAAGGGATATATTATGTATTGTTATTCATTGCGATATACTTGTTTTCAGATATAGATTGTGACAGGTCTTGCACTCAATATGCTTTGCTGTACCTCTACCTAAATGCCTACCTGTTTTTTTGACGATACATTGTCCTCGTCGTCACTGTAGTTTCGTTCTTCTTTGTGTTTGTGTTTTTTCTTCTTTTTGCTTTTCCTGCTTGTATCCTCTTCTTCTTCTTCCTCTCCAAACAACAGGTCATACTTACTGACTCTCGTTAAGGGTATCAACATGTACACATCAGAGGACAGGAACTGTTATACAAGGGGACATAACTCCACTATACAAAATATCAAACATACCTCTAGTATATGCAAAACATAAAGTATGAAAATAGGACTTTAAAATGTCCATGGAATATTGTTTTCTTCTAATTTATATTCATCTTGATTAGGCTGGAAATAGCTTTTGTTTTTTCACTTTGAGAGGATATGAGTCTGGTGGTCAATAATAATTGTACTTAATTCTTAGCTTTTTGTTCCAACTCGTTGGGTAAGATATCGTGTACAGTTACGCTTTCTGTTTGTTAATCTCAAGGGTTTAGTTGGTTAATTTCAAGGGGTCGTAGCTCTACATCTAGCTGTCAATCTCAAGGTAATAGCTTCTGTTTATCACAATTCTGATCAATAATTGAAGTTTCTTTGTACCACTGCCAAAATCAATAACTATGTACTGGAAACATTTTTCCAGCATAACTTTAGAACTGATAAATCATCTTTGAAAAGAAAATTATACTTTTAACACATTTATGGGAAAAAAATATACATGGAAGTGTTAACGTTCCGATCTAACTGTGCTACAGTTACATCTGAAACAAATTAAGGGGATGTTATTACTATATATACGAAACATTATAGTACATCGGGACAGGGATCCTTAATGCAGCCCTGAGTTAAGTGATCGTCTGGAATATGTTCGGTACTATAGAACATATATAGAGCCTATTTCCACACATTTAGATTTGCATCCTTTTTCTATTCCTTCACAACATACTTTATCCCTTCTACTCATTTTCCTGTCTTTTTTTTATATTTGTCTGCTGGATAAATGAACTACTCAGTAGTGAAGCGGACGTAAAAACCAATCAATCAATCAATCAACATTTCGATTTTGAAAAAATTGTTTGCCATGGGTTTTTTTGAGCTTTAGAAATCATCCTGTGCAATAAATGTTTCATACATTTTGAGTATTTTGCTCAATAAGGATACGGATCTTGTTTACGACTTCTGTCCTTCAGCACATAGCCCGGCCCTTTTTCTTCATCCTGGTCCTTTACCTTCTCCACTCCTTTGCCTGTGTAAAACGATGAAATGGTATGCTACTTGCGTGTTTGTATCAAAGGAAAGTATTTTGACTGGAGATCTTTAACCCTTTCACCCCTAAAGACCTAATATGGACTTTTCCAGATCAAAATAGGAAGAGTATATAAAGTGACACATTATTGTCATATAGCTTGTATCAAAGGAAAGTATTTTAACCCTTTCACCACTGTAGACCATAATGGACTAATCCAGATCAAGTTATGGTAGAGTCTACTAAAGTTACATAGGGTTGAAAGGGTTAACCAGAGGCCTTCAATGTTAACCCTTCAACCCCTAAAAACCTAATATGGACTTTTCCAGATCAATGGTTGAAGAGTTTATAAACATTACTCAGGGATAAAAGGGTAAAGGTAACTCAAGTCCAAAACTATCATAATAATGAGAACTTGGCTTCCAAAATGAAAGTATAATATTTTGTACGATATAACGTTCACTGACCTTTGCCCTTCCATTTGATCTTTGCCACAGACTGACTGAAGTCCACGTGTATGCGGCGATCGTCAATAAGTACATTGTCCATCTTGAAGTATGCACGCTCACAGTCTTCCTCCTACCATGATATATTATAATACAGAAAGTGACATTGTACTGTTCGAACTTTGCCAAATTTAACATTCAATGTTATCATCGTGTTGATTCACCTCCAAATCATTGAAAGGAAAATTTTCTTTTGCAATAACGTGATAATGATTTGTTTTCCTTTAAAAAAAAATAATACAAAAGAGCAATCCTAGACTCTGTAATTTAAATAATTTTTTAAACTTTGTATTTCATATTTCATGTAAGAAATTTCACAACTGTATAAAAAATCTTTCAGTTGGTCCAAGAGGTCTAAACATAATCTCGTAATCAAAGCACAGGGTGGGCTTATAATAGAACAATGATATAGCATTTGTTTGCATTTCCACTGAATTGTAACAGATATGGAAGGGCTTATATTATTACTAAGCATTGGCTATTTGCCAAATAAATAGAAGTTTTTAACATATAACTAACAATGACTTCAATCTGTAGAATGGACAGAAGGGGGGGGGGGAGTAAAATGGGACCAATATATAAATGTTTAAGTGAATTGGCCATTGTAATGCTTTGTCTGCAGACTGTACAATCTTATGGGTTGACTATGACTTAAATGAAATTATCATTATTTCTGAAATGGTATCAACATCGTAAACACCATGTACAAGTTACCTTTTCAAACTCTACAAAGGCATATTGTAGTGACTCTCCGGTCTTCTGGTCCTTTATCACTTCACAGCTACAAATCAAATGGATTACAAATGAATTTGTGAAATTTTAAAACATACAAGTCAATTGGTTATTTACAGGATTGCACAAGTTCAAATTCGAGAGTTGAAGTCTTGAGGTCTCCATTTTTTCCCATTGGCTCTGCAAAGTTTGATACATCAAAGTTTGACTGTATTGTCACCATCTTTAGGATGTTGCAAGTAGAAAAGTTTGATCCTTTAATTAACATCAAAGAATCATAAGGTAGCATTACAGTAAAATTGACCGGTTTTAAAGTCGGAAGTTGCTCCTCTGTAATCTTGAAAAGACAAGTATCAGCCAAGAGCTTGGTCAGGTATTTTTTACCTGAAACCAATCCTGTATCTAACTGTGTGTCTTAAATTTAGTCGCGCGATATTCCACAGGAGTAGAAAAGTTACGTGCATCAAGAGCGGGCCCCTTATATAGTGAAGATGAGGCAATATTTGAAGTATGTAAAGCCTTACAAGAGAACGATTGTTTCTGGTATTTTATTTAGTTTTGCAATACCTCTCTACTGTCCCAAATCTGGAGAAAATGATCTCTAGGTCTTCCTCGGAGGTGACTGGGTTGAGTTTACAGATAAAAAGGACATTATCCGGGGGTTTGATGTCTGCGTCAGGGAGATCTCCGATGACCTCCAGCAGCTGGGCATTAGCTGCGGCCTCCTTCTGCTCCATGATCTCTTTGATTTTGTCGCCGTCGATCCCCTTAAAGTCGTCAATTTCCTCGTCTGCCCCAATACGCAAACTCTGTAAGTAATATTATATTCTATGGTTACTGTCACATGGAAACATTAACAGGTCCACGATAAATAGAACACTAAACAGGAACATTCATACCAAACATGTCTACGATAAATAGAATATTCTAGGTCTACATTAAATGGAACAAGGTTACCGCGAGCGGTATATAATACGCCCGTCACACATTGAATGAGCAGTTGTTTGTATGATTGAAATATATGAAGTATTTGTGAGTAATTGATATTAAAAGAGAAATCATTCAACATAACTGGTAGATCAATGAGTGCAATACAACATCATGGAACGCATGCATCGCATTAATGAAACCAAGGGTAATAACTCCAGTAATTACGGTCGGATAATGGCGGTTATCAAACTTGTCCGTGGTTTCATGGTAATTAACCTTGTTGTGAAGTTTGAAGTTAATCCGTTAATAATTACTCGAGATATCGAGCGGACACTGTTTCGGCAAGTCCATAAAGGGGCATAACTCCACAAATTATGGTCGGATAATGGCGGTTATCGAACTTGTCCGAGGTTTCATGGTAATTAACCTTGTTGTGAAGTTTGAAGTTAATCCGTTAATAATTACTCGAGATATCGAGCGGACACTGTTTCGGCAAGTAAAGGGGCATAACTCCAGAAATTATGGTCGGATAATGGCGGTTATCGAAATTGTCCGAGGTTTCATGGTAATTAACCTTGTTGTGAAGTTTGAAGTTAATCCGTTAATAATTACTCGAGATATCGAGCGGACATTGTTTCGGCAAGTAAAGGGGCATAACTCCAGAAATTATGGTCGGATAATGGCGGTTATCGAAATTGTCCGAGGTTTCATGGTAATTAACCTTGTTGTGAAGTTTGAAGTTAATCCGTTAATAATTACTCGAGATATCGAGCGGACATCGTTTGCCTGCCTGCCCGCCCGCCCGCTCACGTGATAACATAATACGTCCCCGTCTTCGACGGGCATATAAAAATCACATGGGAACATTAACATTAAATGGGGGATATTTAATGGTTTCCCCTATCCTCGATACTCCAGGGTTTACTTTCATTTTAGCTCTCTTTACCCCTAGAATAAGTCAATTAGCAGAATTGAAGGCATACAACCGGATATTTGATTGGTCTCGGGTAAAAATCTGACCAATCCCTAAGCTAGTACCTGTCCTTTAAAGATTACAGAGGAACGACACCCATCATCAAAGCCAGTCTATTTTACCGTTATGTGACCGCGAGATTCTTTTGATGAACTTCAAAGAATCAAACGAGTCTTCTTATCTCATGGACAAGCTAGGTTTACTGAGTCTTCAATTTTGCTGACATATTTGAGGGGTGCAGAGAGAGAAAGAGACCACTGGACTGCCAAGGATGGGTTATTCCTTGAATACCATATATACATATTTCATAAGTATGGCATCAGAATATTGATATTTTTCATAAGTGCTAAGCACTGGTGATAATATTGGTATATTTTGCCATTTGAGAGATTATTGGGCAATATTCGAAGTGGTATTTTCACATGTGAAGATATAACATGTTGTCTATCTTCACTAGATATAATAAGTTTTTATAAAATTGGGAATTCATGATAATTCACTGGTAAAATCTTATGAATAGGTCATCTTTTACTTAGGGCTGTCCTGAAATAAAATAGATACTAAAAAAGATCTATACAATGATTTGAAGGTCCTGTTTGGCATATAGCTGCTGATGCTGTTAGCTGAACCCGTGCACACCAATACACAAAGGATGTCATTCTGTCAAATGCAGACATCTGTTGTCAAAAACCCAAAGGCTTTTGACATGATGAAATGACTATAATCTTTTGAGAATTATAACTATGCTTGGGCCAGGTTGTATTACCAAATATATAATTCTAGATTTCGTAAAAAAAGATTTTTGTTCAGATGCAGAACCAATTTCGGAAACACAGACAGAAGATTGTCTGATGATCCTAGATTTACCTTGAGTTGTTCCTGTGTAGGTTCTGGTGATCGGTCAGGGACTTTCAACCCTGAGGGGTCATCGTACGGATCATCCAGGATCACTGTGTGGTATATCCTGTGGGAAAACAATGTTAATAACAATCAGAAAATATTGATGAATCTTCATAACAAAATACATACCAGATGTGTGCATCTGTAATTAAGTTTGAGAAAGGAAGAAAAAATTTGAAACTAGGGCTGCAAAGATATATCGTGCGTCGATATATCCCGATATTTTGAATACGGTACAATAACAATATTTTTTGGGTGGTAAAGATACACCTACGATATTTTCTGGATTGTCATTTCCAAATTTAATCTACTCATATTGGTCAAATTGGTTCAGCATGCACTGTTTTTTGAATTGTGTGGAACTTTAAAGTCATGCCCATTTTTGACCAAGGCTACTTTTAGTTGTAATCATTTTTCATCATCATCTTACGTATCATTGCAGTCCTACTAGAAAGTGAAGCAATGTTTGTGAAATTCAATTTTTACACAATCCCACCTTTTACCATTAGCTGAAGATATCAGGAAGAGGAAGAACCATATTTATTGTAATAAAAGATTGGTCTAAAGCAATCTGGAAGAATCAGTTAAGCCTCTATCTGGACCATGAAACTGACATAACATGCATAGGTTTTACACATTTTCCCCCCTTAAAATTAAAAAAATATCTAGTTAAAATAAAAAGCCCACCACTCTTTGATGCCCACTTTACCAACAAACATGAATAATGTGTACATGTCAACTGATCCTTTTAAATTCAAAACTTTTTATGCAATACATGTACTCATTATTTCAAGACCAAAAAATTAAGTCTCCAAGATTTCTGCGCATATATTTGCCAAGCATGATTATTTAATATTTTATCAGAGATAAACATCTTATAAACACATTATCTTTTAATCAAGAAATAATCAGATATATTAACAGGGCCACAGTTTCTTTGGAGTATTTAGTTTTTTCAACTTCAGATAAAACTCTACCTGATATCCTGGTAGGGTCGGTGTTCCTCATCACAATAAGCTTCGTTGATCTTCATCAGTACGTCCAGTCCTTCCGACACCTCCCCAAACACGGTGTGCTTCCCGTCCAGGTAATCAAGGTTTTCACCAAGAGTTATGAAAAACTGCAAGGATCAGTGCCATATGATAGTCAAGGTAATGCTATAGTTATCTCTTTAATGACAGTGTAATACACCATATTTGTTTCCTATCATGATGATGCATTTAAGAAAAAGAACATCCGACAGGTCAGTAAGGGCCCCACCATTTACCTGACATAACCCCCCCATCTATTTTTAGTAACAGTAACCTTGACCTTGAAAGCATTTTAAACCACTGTTGCACATCTACATATCACAGTATATCTCAATGTCAAATTTCACAAAGACTTTTGGATTTTGAGATTAGGACTATATCCCCCATGGTCTATTTTCAGTAAATGACCGTGACCTTGACCTTAGAAAATTTTTAAACCCCTACTGCACATCTATATTTCACAGTGTATTACTGTGTCAAATTTCAGAAAGATTAGTATTTTGATTTCCGAGATAATTGCGGGAAACAAAAGTGTTGATGGATGGACAGACAAATGGAAACCTTGATTACTATAGCACCTGCTTCAATTCTCCGATGTGGAGCCCTAACTAGCCTGTATCAACTGGGACCAATCTAGACATGTTACTACAGTATATGGGTACATAGTTTCCCCATACAGAAGAAAATTCCCCTGTTCTTTGAAATTCCCCCCTATGTGCTTCAAAATTAAAAGAGCATTTTTTCTTCAAAATGTTTCCCCTATATGTTTTCTTTAAAGTTCAACCGTTAAAATGCATAATACTGCATATATACATTTTCTTCACATATAATCTAAACAAAAATTCTACAATTTTTAGCTTAAGATTGTTTATAAATTGAAATATACTGCACACATGTATGTCGGACAAAACATTTATCTTTTACCTTCAGGACACTAGAGCCTTATATCAAAATTTTAATTTCCCCTAAATCTGAAAAAGGGTAGATTCCCCTGAAACCTAGATTGATTCCTGATTAAGTGTTCAGTATTAAAAATGTTTTAGGCTGTCCTGTCACTGCTTATAAACTGTTCGATTATCAATTAAAATTGAAAGAAATGGAAAATACACAAACTTAAATACACATTTATTCAGTACATGATATTTTTTTTAAATAAGGACTTTTCAATACAAGAATGTATGGTAGGATGGATAGCAGGGATCAAGGGAGGTAATGACAAGGGAGGCAATGACAAGGGAGGCAATGACAAGGGTGGCAGGGTCTTAAATAATTACTGTTTTTATAACACACCAATATATAGAAAATAAAGAGTTGTGGTTGGCGGAAGTCACAGAAAAAGCAATTACTACAGTAACTTTAATACCTGTTACAAACGAATATCTTTTCTTGTAGTGTTGTAATTGTAAGTAAAATTTTGGCAGTGTAATAAGTGTAAGTATCTTCTTTTGCAGTGTAATTAGTGTAAGTATCTTCTTTTGCAGTGTAATTAGTGTAAGTATCTTCTTTTGCAGTGTAATTAGTGTAAGTATCTTCTTTTGCAGTGTAATTAGTGTAAGTATCTTCTTTTGCAGTGTAATTAGTGTAAGTATCTTCTTTTGCAGTGTAATTAGTGTAAGTATCTTCTTTTGCAGTGTAATTAGTGTAAGTATCTTCTTTAGCAGTGTAATTAGTGTAAGTATCTTCTTTTGCAGTGTAATTACCGTATTCCAATTTATAAGTGTCATCGTGGGCTATTGTCAACTTGGAAAAATGTGTATTGATTACAAAAACATTGATTTTATCAAAACATTAGTCAAAATGAAGAACCCCCAAGAAGTTGGTATATGTGTAAACCATAAATAACTGTGGAGAGATAGGATGCTCAGTCCAAGAAAAGTATAGGGGGTGCTTATAGCGGATTGGGTCAAATATGATAATGTAATTTTACTTTTATTTTGCAATATAATTAATGGAAACAAAATTGTTAAGTTGCCTGGGGCTTTTTTTGGCAGTGTATATTTTTTTCTGAAAGTGTCAATTAAGTGTTTAGTTTTTACAGTCATTAATATGAATTTGATGTGAATCAACAAGTAATTCAAGTGAATTTTTGTGATTTTGTAGAGTACCTGAGAACCATGCATATTTCCTCCATTGTTGACCATAGAAACAGTACCAACTTTCTTGTGCTTCATCCTGGGTACAAGCTCCATGTCAAAGTACCGTGCTTGTTCCCCATATAGCAAGCTGAAAATTCAAAATGAATCTACTAAGGAATCCCAGCATAAACATAATGAAATGCAAATCAATACATGTCCCCTTCCATGACAAATTGTCAAGTAATGCTACAATAGATGTACCTACCATGAAGCATTGTCTAGTCATGATACAATATATAAGTGTCCCCTACTACATACAGCCAAAGCATCCAAATTTATATTTATGAACTGATGCTGGGAAAAAAAGCATTATAATAACTTGAACTTAGTTTGACCCTAACTAAGGCCTTCACTCATTCACCCCTGAAGACAAGTTTGAACTCTTCCAATATAAAGGTTGGAATAGGTCATTATGAAATTTCAGGGGTGAATGAGTTAAAGTGGAACATGTACACTAGGGCTGCAACGATACAATAACATGACGAAACAATATGTATCACGATATTGTAGTCACGATACGTATATTGTACAGTAACAGTAAAAGCTTTTGCATATCGATGAACATGACAATAAATAATTGTTTTACCTACAGCGTTTATTTTCCGAGTAAGGCTATATCATCTTAGTAAATGTTGACAAAAATGCTTGTAAAAATGAGCATATGTACATTTTCTGCACCAACAATATCAAATCATTTTAAAAACAGATTAGATAACGTAAGCCATTGGGGTGGACAAGAACCTTTGTACAACTGCATATCATTATACATGTCAGATTTGTTTGAAAATTAAAATTATTGTCACTACTGAAATATATCTATTGTTATTACATATTTGAGTCTGGTGTAGAGGATTAAATATGATCTAAACTTAATTAATAAAGCTTTCTAGTGATGGGCTGATGATCGATTATAATCAACAATTGATCGGTTTGCCCTTACCAATTCCAATTATCGATTACAAATTCCATATTTCATATAATTGTATCATTATTTAAATCAAAGTGTCAAATGTGTACGATTGAAAGTCATTTATTTTAAAGATTTTTACTACATGTATATGATTAACAAAACTGTATAAAATTGCATGAAATCCATTCATTATAAAACCATTTTAACATAATGTTTTCTTGATTAACAATAATGCTTGAAAACCAATTGCCCATCACTAATGCTAAGTAAAGTTACAAATGGCAGACATTCACTCACCCATTCACGGACTCTCCTCCTCGGCCTGTTCCTGAAGGGTCTCCTGTTTGTGCAACTAAATTTCTCTGAAAGCAACAGCACAGTCTGATAAGAAAGACTACAGTACATTGGAACATTGGTGTCAACCTATGAAATCTCCGATAAAGGATATCTCCCTAATTCCTCACTTCCAATTAAGGAGATCTCCCTCATTCCACATTTCTAATTAAGGAGATCGCCCTCATTTCACATTTCCAATGAAGGAGATCTCCCTCATTCCACATTTCCAATCAAGGAGATCTCCTTCATTCCACATTTCCAATGAAGGAGATCTCCCTCATTCCACATTTCCAATGAAGGAGATCTCCCTCATTTCACATTTTCAATTAAGGAGATTGCCCTCATTCCACATTTCCAATGAAGGAGATCTCCTTCATTCCACATTTCCAATGAAGGAGATCTCCCTCATTCCACATTTCCAATTAAGGAGATCGCCCTCATTCCACATTTCCAATTAAGGAGATCTCCCTCATTCCACATTTCCAATGAAGGAGATCTCCCTCATTCCACATTTTCAATGAAGAAGATCTCCCTCATTTTATATTTTTAATTAAGGAGATCTCCCTCATTCCACATTTTCAATAAGTGAGAAAGTGCGTGAAACGTGACTATAACTGGTTGCTCAATTTATTTTTCCCTTTCATTTTAATTATAGTATCAAAAAAACTCCAAAAAGGGTTCATTTGATTGACACACCTGTTATGATAATTACACATACCCTGCAGTAACTTGGAGATCATTTGACCATGGCCACAGAATTAATTTTTTGAGTTTGTGTGAATTTAGACTTGAATGAGGGAGTTTCAACGGAGATTGGTAAATTTTGGTCAAAATGATGAGGTCTTACGCCTTATGAGGGAGGGTTGACAGCTATGTGTGAAGTTTTATCACAAACACTACATATATAAGCAATACAGACTTTAGAAAATCTTAACTAAAACATGAAATGTAGTCCTCAGAAATACTGCAAGTACTAAAAGGTCAGTATAGTGCCGTCATTTGAGATTATAAATACAATTTTGTAGGCATTACAAGGCAGTAAGGCATGAACAAGTTTTTGGCATATACGGCTTGTAAAAGGGTTAACGTTTGGTCTTATCAATTGGGTATTAATTTGGTGTTACAATGTTGAAAATAAACAGATACATGTACAGATTACATGCATATTGGAACTGGTAAGACAAAAAAGAGGCACATGCAAGGACCTTTAAATATGGAGGAAGTAATTAATAAAGATTATGGTAAATCAAAAATGGAATTTCAATGACAGAATGCTAAATATGGATACATGATTGGAGTTGTAAGCCTTTTTTTTCACCTTTTTTTCACTTTGTTTTTGGATACAATCTTCAGAGTTAAATCAATCATGAAATATGTCAAAATTAATGTAGCATTGTAGCAGTATGAATTTTTTATATTTGTATTTGTTGTAATAAAGTTTTATAGATGCAAGTTCTGTTCAAAGATATCGATAACATACGTACAGTGGCCTTTCATTATTCTTACTGATATTTACATATTTTTGTATTTTTTGAATGTGACAACAAAAATTTTGAATAAAAAAAAAAATAAATAATAATGATAAAGAGTGTGGTGACAAATCCGACATATTAAATTCTAGGGGTGTCACAATACGCCAGAAGTGTATCACGATATACATGTATTGCAATACAGAATGAATATATATTGCAATACGTATCCGATATATTGTCATAGGAAAGATGTGCTCGATTTTATAACAAGTTGTTGTCAAAATGTTATCAAGCTTAATCATTTATAATGTATATCAAAAAAAATTAAGATTTTTGTCAAACTGACCATCGATTACAAAATTTGAACTAATTCCTACCACTATTAAAAGCCTTTTTTATGCTAATTGACATAGCTGTTGGAATTTGTAGCAATTTGTAAAGATAAAACACAAAGCAGAACAAAATACGCCCGTAGAATGCCATATAGTGTTGTATACTTTCTTACATTGAAATAAGATCTGCATCATTCTAAGAGTGGTTAGCTGACATGCTATAAACAAGAGGCCCAATAGGCCTGCATCGCTCACCTGGTATAAATCTCACACTTGCAACCTTAAAAGTGATCTAAAATAAAACTACAGGCAAAATATCAGTATTTATGATTAAAGTCATTCAAAAGAACCTGTTGCAAGATTTTAAAACATTTCACCCCTGTTACTTTGAAATTCGAACAAAGTCATTATGTTGGACAAATTTTATAGCCTTTCATCTCAGGATGCAACTTGCAAAGTATCAACATCCAGGGACCCATGGTTATTCAGAAGAGGTCGTTTAAAGATTTTAAACAAATTTGACCCCTGTGACCTTGAATATAAGTCAAAGTCATTCACTTTAACAAACATAGTAGTCCTTGATCCCAGCATGCTACTGACTAAATATCAACATCCTGAGCCTTTTGGTTATTCAGAACAAGTTCTTTAAATATTTTGAACATATTTGCTCCTTGTGACCTTGAATATGGGTGAAGGTCATACATTTAAACAAACTTGGTACCCCTTGTTCCTAGTATGCTACTGGCCAAATATCATCACCCTGGGCATTTTGGTTATTGAGAAGAAGTTGTTTAAAAGTTTTTAACATATTTGACCCATGTGACCTTGAATATGGGTGAAGGTCATTTATTTGAACAAACTTTGTAGCCCTTTATTTCAGCATGCTACTGGCCAAATATCATCACCCTGTGCATTTTGGTTATTCAGAAGAAGTTGTTTAAAGGTTTTTTAAGACAATTGACCCCTGTGACCTTGAATATAATTGAAGGTCATTCATTTGAACAAACTTTGTAGCCCTTCACCCAAGCCTGCTACTGGCCAAATATCATCTCCCTGGGAAGTTTGGTTATCGAGAAGAATATGTTTAAAGTTTTTAACATATTTGACCCCTGTGACCTTGAAAATGGGTGAAGGTCATTAATTTTAACAAACTTTGTAGCCCTTCGTCCCAGTTTGCTTCTGGCCAAATATCGACACCCTAGGCCTTTTGGTTATTAAGAAGAAGTTGTTTAAAGTAAAATATTGATGCCGGATGGACGGACGCCGCGACACGGTATAAGCTCACTGACCTAAAAACGTAGGAGAAAATCTCTCCGGACATAAAATCAAATACTCAAATGAACAAAGGGCAATAACTTTTGCAAAAATCGTCGAATCAAAATTCTTTGAAGGGAGACACAACTTCATATCATGATTATAATCTTAACGACTGATCCTATGCCACATGGCTAATGCCTCAATATGTGTGGTCCCTTTGTGTGTACTGGATGTATATTGGCAATTTGTTTTGCAACGAGACAATGACTATGATGAGGGATTGAACCCTGGCATTTTTGTGGAAAGTTAGAATGTTAAATACTTGGCTTATATTAACTTGACATGCACCTACTAATTATCTTCAGTCAGATGGACACCATTTACCACCTAAATATATTTACCTGTACAGAATGGAAAAGTGAGAAATTGTAGTATTTCACTTTGCACAGCTTCAGGAAGTTCTTGCAACCTGCAACAAAACACAAAATTATTATTTTCTAAGTGCATGACTGTCTTTCTTCAAAAAGTTAAAAAATATCTGTTTCCTTAGCTGACCAGATGTCAAACCCTGTTACACAATACAATAACAAAGATCATTATTCATAGTTAAATTCTGATTATTTTAATATTCACATTTTCATTGTTCAAGACCTTGAGACTGTGATCTGATAATGCTCGTAATATAAATAAGAACCCACACTGAGATCAACTTATTGCCTATCCCAATCTCCATCATGTTCATGATATCCTCTCACGTAGGAGGATGCACTGTATCTTCGTTTTACATCAGCATGATTTTTTTCTGTGTATTATTTACAGCTAAACATATATATCTATACACACACTACAACACACTATAAGCAATGGATCCAGGTGATACATTTTTTTCTTTTTCACAAAGATTTAGACAACTGAATAAACATATTTTTGTGCAAAATTGTACCCCATTGTATTTATTATTTGTTTATGTTATAAGAATGATGCCATTTTTTGTTCATAATGTTCAAGAAACTTTAAGGGTTTTCATTTCACTTCATTCGATCCCATTTCAGTAATAGAATTGTTACTATAACGGGAAACTGTTATCCAAATACATGTTTACTATAAATATGTGCCAAACCTGATTAATCAATTTAATGTTAAAAACGTACATGTGCATCAGCCATGTTTTTTAAGAAGAAAAGGAAGACTGTTGTATGACATACACTGACATGTATACATAATCACATGGTATGTACACCCCCAGTGTTTTTTACCTGAATTTTACAACAGCTTGTTCCTTTCTGAATTGGAAAAATATAGCACTATTTTTTATCGAAATTGGGAAATTCCTCATTTTTTGGTCATTATGTGAAAATAAGACACCTTTTAGCTAGGGAAACAGTCTGTATTCGACTGTAAAATTGAGCAAAAAATTGCACCCCTAGGCCTGTACACTTATGTGAAATATGTCAGTAGTTTAAAGGACCCCCCTCCCCTCTAACTTTAGACGATGCGTCAAGGTGCTAGATTACTACAAGCATATAAGCAGATTTGCCGGTGTTCAGTACGTATACCTGGCGTTGTTTTTCAGTGTTCGCATCATCTGTGAAAGGATGGTCTCAGTCGCATATCATAATCATTGATCTCTATTCAAAACAAGACTTATCACCATCCATTTTCACACTTTTGAGAGGAAGAATAAAGTAACATACATGTTGGTCTTTCGTCAGTAAACAAATCTATCGTCAGATCCCCAAGAGATGTTTCCAAAACTACAGCCATTTCGCCTGCTTCTCATCAGCTCACGTTTTGAAACGGGTCGACTCTTGTCAAATGGAGGTGGAAAAGTGCGGAGAGATTGTAAAATCAAAGTAGGAGACGGACAAGGAACTATACGGATTTGTTTTGCAGTCCGTCGGCTCCCTTTTATTTATCAGTAAATTTATGAGACATAGTTTCTGGAACTCCAACCATTCGTGCTTTTAACCACAAAAAATGTATGGAGCTAACACGGCCCCTTATGGAACAGCTATATTTGTTTGTTATAAATAGGGCATGGCTTATTAGGTGCGGTGGTTAAATCTGCCTCGAAAAACCTTTTCACGATACATCGCTCTTTAATTCGTTTTCAAACCAATCGTGTAGCAGCCATGTTTATTTAAAATTACGATTAAAGTAGTTATATTTATTTACACTTAAGATAAAATTTTGCAGTAAAGGAGGCTCAATCCTTTCGCAATTAACCAGCAGAATTCAATGAAAGTTTCAAAAAATACCGAAAAATTGGGGTTTTTTTTGTCAAATTCAACACTTTCACATTTTTTGAGCGTGTGGCATTGCTCAAAACTATTACAACAATAAAATAATGAAAAGAAACATTGCTAATCAACCCTAAAAATATTTTAATTGTCATAAAATATCTACAACATGTTACAAAAAGCGTTTTTTATTGAAATTGTATGGATAAAAGTTACTAAATACAAGCTAAAATCAAACAGGACACATAGTTTCATAAAAAAGAGTGAAAAATTGAACCAAATACACACAAAGTCTTTATAATTAATTTATTTTACATTTAACAATGAATTTGATCCTGATGAGAGTTGTTTACTTTGAAAAAAATCGGAACCTTTTGCAGAGGGATAGAATTTATACAATGACACTTATTTTCTTTACTATACCAAAAATCGCAAGGTATGCCGTTATTACGACATCATTATGACTTTGGACATCATTCCATAGCCTGCTTACGCATGGTATATTAACATGTCAGGTACATATGTAACCATAGGCTATCGCATGGTATGCCGTTATTACGTGCATGCACATGCACTTGCATTTTATAGGGATCTTGATATTTTACAAACCACTATTTTCGAAGAGTTATTGTAATTGCATTTGTGAACCGATTTATATGACAGAGCGTAACTCGCTTGACAACAACAGTCGTAGCGACCAAGAGCTTATGAACTACTGTTAGCACGTGATACGTACAGGTGAGGTTGGTAAACAAAACACATCAGTCTGCATTCCATGCGCCTCATATACGACCTTCTTGAAGTCGTCTGATCGTATATCAGTGTTTTCCCGTGAGTTAATTAATGTCTTTGTATCATAAGCTTTATTTCTGAAATACGTGTGACTACACATTTCCATGTTAAACCTCGATATCGGGTGTTGACATATCGTCACGCACGTGTACTATTGTTTACCCGGTGTTTCTTAAGAAATAATCAATATATATTCCACCATAATGCACGCACATAAGTTGATTATTTTTATTCTACCACGTCAAATGTAACTAATTGTAAAATTTTGCTGTCTTATAAGGCGACATGACCTAGATAATACGATATGCAAATTAGACGCTGTTCTAGGGTTGGGATTCCCGGATTGCGTTTACTTCTAAAACCATCATCATCGTACCAATATCAAGCGGATTTTCTTGAAAGTGCCAGTGATACAACATCATACGATAGGCCTGACATTAGTTGGCATATTTAGTTGTTTGCCATGATGTGATGAAAAGTCACTGACCGGCTGATCATGACGCGACCTTCACCTTCACCTTCACCGACTTCACCCGACAGCTGTGTTTTGCAACCACTACAGACCGATGCTACTTTTTGCAACATTATTCTTCACACACGGTATGTACACTGTAGGCAAATGCTAGACATAACATTGATTTTTTGAAAGCAGACGACGTTTTGCAGACCAGAAACAACTGAACACGTGTGACGTCAGATACGATCTTTATTTCAATAAATCAAACATTGGCACGCTATCGACATCGTTCGTCAAAACATGAAATCAACGCTTGACAGAACATACACACACTGCACACATCGTGAAATGTACGGCACTACCCAGTGAAGTAAAAACAGAAGTAATTAATAATTTACCATTTTGTCTTCAGACCTATACATTTTAAATGTCAATAATTAATAAACAATTTTCACTGCACAGACCCACATACTTTAGGTCTATAGATCCGTGTAATCTTTTGAAAGGCAGGCCTGTCAAATATTTTGATCCCGCCTGACAGTTCTGCTATTTTTTGTTAATTCATGATATAATACGGGGAGGTTGTTGGAACAGCATGCGTGCGCACTATTTCACGTGTATTGGTTATTGGCACGCGCATGGTATATCGCTCAATATTGCACTCTTTTTAACCAATGAAAACCGTCGTTACATCACAGACGTGGCAGAATATAATTTACACCACGGTAATGGATCCGGAATGCCCGATACGAAAATTTGTCGTAAGATTTTTTTGTGAAAATGCTCACAGTGGTCGTAAAGAGTGATGTTAGGAGGAAGGAATGTTGCGGAACTAGACTTGGTCCATCGTCGGCGACCAGGTAGCTGAAATGGTAGAGCGTCCGTCTGGAGTTTGAAGGTCCCGGGTTCGAATCCTGTCTGGACGTTCATTTCTCTTCTTCTGCTGCAGTAATGTAGCGAACCAGGCAGCTCAGTTGTTAAAGCGTCCGTCTAGAATTCGGAGGTCCCCGGTTCGAATACTGTCTGGCCGTGCATTTTCCTCTCCGGTATATGTAATATTGTAATATAATCAAAAAACCAAGCGCAAGTTTTTCTCTCTCTCTACGGAACTTTAAATGAATGCTGGGCTATTTTTCGATTGGTTAATATTACAGTTCGAATTTAGATTTAGACGCGAACGAGAGACGGTAACTTTAATCATATCAAGCTATCTGACATGATGGCGCATGTTATGCAGATTTACGGAATACCATTGCCATATATGTTCATCCATGGGAATAGATGTAAGATGTTTCCGATTAAAACTAAAGGACAAAGACATTAGTTAGATACCCAAAGAAGACATATAACGAACAAATTGCAAGTTCTCAAAAAAATACGAGTTGCCTCCCATTTAACGGTCAGCGCTGGGTTACATATTGTATGGTATATTTTCGAATTTTAAGCCCATTTTCTGATTTCTAAACATGCCTTATCCCACGTACCCCGAAGGTATTGAGGAAGAAATGACTGTGTCCATTTTATACCAATAAAGCTCTGCAGTCCCATCGTATTGATACTTGCCATGTTTGCAATATTTCCTATCGAAAACAAACAAAACATGCCCCAACATATCATTTCCCAACCCATTCTAAACCATGGTAAACTTTACGGCCTTCCCTCTGGAGAAGAAATCATGTTTGTCTGTACTACGTCCTGAAGGCACTGACCCTGAATAAAAAAAACATATAATTCACAGATTTTGATTGTACATTTGAAAAGAATTAAGTCGGAATTATTATTTTTTGATGTGCGACGACGAACAAAAGTCGAACCAGAAAGTTTCTAACGATATTTCTTTTTTTGTGTGTTTGAAATACATTTTAAGACGCGGAAGTATGTTGATCTCTTCTTGGTCGATAAACTCATAAAGGGTTTAATCCACTAGCCACTTACCAGTGCCAACAGACTGAAACCGAAACTACATTCTTTGTAATACCTATATTTGTTTGAAACAAGGAAGTCTTTTAAAGGTATACAGTGATCTTTCTGATCACTCAGTGCCAACATTTCTCGGTATTACATGTAAACATAATTCAGCGAAATCTATCGCGATATATTGTAATAGGTTGGAACGTAAAAACCCCGAGTATTTGGCTCTGACCCCATTTTGTCATGTAACCTGGACCCACATATGACTTTTTGGCCTAAGCAAAGTCATGAAATGACATACGTATTGAGTGTATCAATCGTTCTATAAGTAGCTACATGGACGGTACAGTGACTAACATCCACGGAAATCCCAGGGTTTCGCTATCTTATGTTGTTTGCATACCTGGAATATTTTGAGATAAATCGAAGGCACACGGTTCGATATTTGATTGGTTTAATAAAAAAAAAGAAAATAGTCGCTAGTTTGATACATATCCTGTTGAAGATTACAGAGGAGCGATACCCGACTTCAAAGCCGGATAGCTTTCACGTTACGCTGCCGCGCGATTCTTTTAATATACCTCAAACTAGTCTTCTTGTATCACTTACAAGGCTGCGCGTGCTGATTCTTCGATATAGTCTTGGCAAAGTCTTAAGTCTACAGTTCTCTTTGAAGATTGAATATCGATATCATACCTTGTATTACACCGAGACCTCCATATACCTAGCTTGCATAATGCACGTTAAAAACAACCCATATTACGGTCAGGAACGCGATAACTTATACAAATCTTATATTTAGTTTAAAACAGAACATCTATTACGTATCACAAACTGCTCTTTCATGAACAGTTCTTAATATCAAATTTGATGCGGGCAAAATAACATGTCCATTCGTGTTCTCGGAGATAAAGATTGCTTAAACTTTTGTTTTTATTTTTTCTTAAGTATATATGTTGAAAGGTCTAAATCAAGCCATATGTCACATCGTCGGAGATCTAATGTTGTTACATTTAGATCATACACTCGATAACACGCGCCTGCAAGTATAACGGGACTGATTCACAAGCGCATACACTTAGACCTTGATATGCCGACATCGGGAGTCGAACCCACGCCTTCAGCCAACGTCAGGAGTCGAACCCACACCTAACTGCAAATTGAGGGTCCGGAAACGCTGTCAAATATTATTGCATTTATCTCTTGGACTAGCCTTTTTTTGCAATCTGGGTTGGTCCAAAGCCAGATTATTTCAATGTTTATACGTTTCAGAGGTTGTCCGGAAAAAAGGGGGAAAGTCCACGTACAGTCATTTAAATTGTGAAAGAACCTTCTGCCGAGTTCGTAGGAATGTTGATATATATACACTTTAAACTACTACAGAGAAATGTGTGCTATAATTATTTAGGTGCTTTTAAGACTTTT